CCGACTCTGACCCTCGGGGTGGAAACGTAGTCATGGGTTAAGGAACTTTTGTAAACCAAGTCCCTGAGGGTGCTTTCACATGGAGCATGAGTTGCGTAGCGTAACCTGCGTATCACCAATCACAGGATCATGCTGATAGAACCGTTTCAATAATTCCGTTGAACTAGTCCTGTGATTGGCGATACGCAGGTTACGCTACGCAACTTACGCTGCATGTGAAAGCACCCTTACCGTTTTGGCGCTACGCTGTCGAGCGTGCGCTGCGACTCGAAAAACCCCGCCCAAACCCGAGAAAAACCAAAAACAAGATGGATGGGCCCTACGGGCAAGCTGGACCACCCGCCGATAGGGGGCGATCGTACTCGCGTGTGGAAAAAAGTGGGGAGCCAGGGGTATATAAGGAGCTGCCTCGCGCTTCTACGGACAATATACTACGGACAAAATAACTCTTCTGTGCGGGTAAGTAAAACAGTCCCTTCCCAGGTGCGCTCGTCCGGGCCCTGGCTCTCACTCTCTCTCTCTCTCTCTCTCTCTCTTGTCCAGGTGCGCTCGTCGCGGGCCTTGTGTCCCTCGGTCGGTTGTACTAATCATTTTTGTTTTTTTAATTTTTCAGAAGCTCTCGCCTGCACGCAAAAGATGCCGCGCCGAAAGCGCATCGCGCATACCGCGAATTGGCAGACGGTGGGACAACCGCCGCTGCCGCGATCGCTGCTGCCATCGCTGCCGACATCGCTGCTGCCACTGCTACCACCGCTGCCGCCGTCGCTGGTGCCACTGCTGCTGCTACCGCCGCCGCCACCGCCGCCGCCACCGCCACCAACACCGACGGTGGTAAAAACACAATTTGCCGAGGATCCGCGTCGCCCTGCGCTCTTCCCGGGTTGGGACCCAAGGGACGAGGTCCACGGGGTCAGCCTCCTCCCGTGGCGCCCATTAATAACCATCGACATCCCGGGAAATAAGACTCGCGACAAGGCGACTCAAACCGACGCGCCGCTTCCTCCTCCTCCTCCTCAACGGCCGCCCAACACCTCGGCCGTACCACCGCGGCCACAAAACAGGTTGGAAAAACCCTCGACGGGGTCGCCGAAAGGGTCAACGAGGAGGAGAACTTGCATCGTCTGCTCGCCGCTGCCGATGGCGACGAGGAAGCGGACGCGTCCGCGCCTTGTTACGAGCACGAGAAAGGGGCCGGCGCAGTAGGGCGGGGTGGCGCCAGCGGCGGAAGCATACCACCGGCGTACGACCCACCCCCAAGCGCGAGAGTGTCCCTCCACGTCGCTTCGGGGGCCCGTTGGGTTTATTTCCAGTGAGGTAAGTGTCTTGTCTTCTGCCACTTTTGTTTCCTACTGTTCTCTTTCTGTTCGCTTTACGTTGTATTTATATTTCCTGTCTTGTTTCCAGATGCTGGTTCATCCGCCTGTCGTGGCGGTGCTGGCGGGGACGGCTCCACTCTCCCTTATTCTGGGCTCATCGTATTTAATACTCGCATATACTCGCATATACTCGTACATACTCGCATATACTCGCATATACTCGCATATACTCGCATATACTCGCATGTACATGTATCTATTTTTTATAACATATATATTTTTACTTAATTATACGAAACTTTTTATCGAATGTTTCTATTTTCTTCAGTTACCCTTTCTTCTACCTTTTCTTCCTGTCCCTTCTCTCCTTATTGGTTATAGTTTTATTCACCTAGTAATCTACAAAGGGCTTTATGCGATTTGCGTGCACTCGTATAGGCTTCGTCGTCCCTTTTTGATAGTATAGAGTTTACTTCCCAGTGCGCTTCTCCGTAATGACGTACACGGCCCCCTATCCATTGAGCCTCTAGTTTTTTCGAGCGTCCTCTCCTTACGGTCTCGTCGTGTAGGAGTGTACCTTTTCTCCTACTTTAAACATTACAGTTTTAGTTCGTTTGTCATATTGAGCTTTCGCTTTTTCTTTCTTGACTATTAATTGTTCCTTCGCTGCCTGTTGCGTAGCTCGCATTCTCTCGCGTAGTTGTTGCGCGTAGTCGTCGTACGAGTACGTCTGTCGCGGCGGTTGAGTCAGGGGGCCGCGAAGGTAGAGTCGCGCTTGGTGCCCGTATATTAATTCGTGTGGAGTGTGTCCTGTCGCGCTATGTGGCGTTGTGTTATAGACTACGTTTCCACCCCGAGGGTCAGAGTCGGGCTAGAGTCGGGTCAGAATCGG